ATTTTCAAATTGCTGATGTTCAGTCAATTAAACTCTTTAACACTACAGAAGACATCTGATGAGCCGTGCCATTTGGTGTAGGGGTTTACATCACTTTGTAAAAGAAGTAATTGGCTGAACATCTCTTTTTTACTTGATTCCCTCCTTATTGAGTCAAGTTAGCAGATCTCCGAAGGGGATGCGGTCAGAAGGTGCTCATGTGTACTGGAACTCCAAGTGTCCAAAGCTTTCACCTCCAAAGCTTTTCACCTACAGAAAGTTCTGATTTTAAATTAGAGTGAAGTCTTGCCATTGAGCAGAAAGATGCTTATTTAAGTTGGGTATTTCATGTACTGACTCTAAGGACAATGTCAGGTGTTTTGAGAGACTAAAGTTCTACTTTAATGCTATATTTTTATTAAGTTATATTTATAGAAAAAAGAGTTGATGGTATCTTTTGAAAAAGATAGTTTCCTATTGAGGAGGTCAATTTTCCACTGCTACTTGGATGATTCATAATTCCAAGCTCAAATCAAGGGAGATTCAGAGACCGCTTTTGTTTTCTATCTGCATCCAGGTGATACGTATAGAAATTGGAATAGGGCTTTGCTATTCTGCTAGCCTATTTATAAACATAAGTAAGCTGGACTTTTTTTTGTACCTTTGTTCTAAAAGTTTCTTGAAGTCTTTCTTGGGTTGTATTTGAATCAACCGCTCTTTGAAACTGTCTGATGGGGGTTTGCTGGTATAGACTTAGCATCACTTAATAGAGTCACACTTAAGAAGTAATTGGCTGAACATCTCTTTTTTACTTGATTCCCTCCTTATTGAGTCCAGATTTAATTTCAGAGGAGAAAAGAAGAGATCTAGTGAGTTCCATTCACTTAGTCAAAAGAAGCAGCTGCAGTTTGGAGATAATTGGATGAAAATTTTTTGTCAATTTTCTCATTTTATAAAATCAAATATTAAGATTTGGATAGGCATATTTCATGCCACTCTTTCTCTTTCTTTCTTTCTTTCTTTCTTTCTTTCTTTCTTTCTTTCTTTCTTTCTTTCTTTCTTTCTCTTTCTTTCTTTCGTTCTTTCATGCCACCCTTTCTTATCATCATATTTTAGAATTTGTAGTTTCTTCTTACTATTTTCTATTAACCAGAAAAGTTATAGCATAGCAGGTGTTTAATAATATTTGTTGAAAAAATGGGTAATGAATAAATTCTGAATATTAAGACCAAAGGATGATAAACTTGAGTAACAATATGAAGCATTAAAGAGCCAATAACATAACTGTTATTAGGATGCAAATGATGACATATTTTTCTCTTTAATGAAAACTTAAAGAATCTTTTTGCCTAGAAGTCATTTATTAGAGTGTAAAAGTTTAAAGAAAACAATTGCTTAACGTTACGTGTTTGCTTCTGGGTAATCTATTTCTACAACTCATAACTTTTGGAAGGGTGGTTATTGTGTGGCAGATAAGACTGGAAAGATCTTATCATCTGAAGAAATATTGACTTCACATTTTATTTGTGGCTGACACCAAGGGAACATGGATTTTCATCACAAAGAAAAGATAGGTCTTCAAAAAATAACTATGTATATTGTTCAATCAACAAAAGACAAACAACAAATACATTTTACCTATCATTTAGTGACTGATGTTCAAAAGATAGGAAGAAAAACTTAGGAAGTCTTTGATTTCTCCCTTCCAAAGGAGATCAAGAGTGACAAAGGAGATGCAAGCTGCTCCATTCACTTGACTTGCAGATCAACTTTGCCGGGTTGTAAATGGGAACTAACCCCCATTTAAAGGTTGCTTTATCTTGGTCTTAACCATCCAGCAGAAAGGTATAAAAATGAAGTATAAGAACTAAAGCCATGCTGTTATGTTGAGCTGTAGGGGACTCAGGTCAACAGTTTCTGACACTGCCAGTCAAGAGGGAGACCCAATACTATTATGGACTACTGGACTCTTTTGGAATATTTTGCTGAGTTAACAGACCTATAATATTCAAATAATGGAACTAAACAAAAAGGGGGATACAGATGAATGTCCATTTTGTATCTGTATATTCAAAATGGTTAGGATAGATATATAGTTACATTCTCTTAATGAATAGAGGGATTTGTTGTAATAGTGTTTATAAATAGGATCTCATGTCTGCATCTTGTACAGCAAATAACCACTAGGAAGTGAGTATGCAATGTGTTAATTATTGAAACTGTCCTACCAATTTGATTTGAAACTGTCTCATTGCTATTTGTCTCTCAATAAAATTGTGGAAAAAATAAAGGTTTGGGGCTGATGCTACGACAGGGTCTGAAGCAGGAAGCTTTGCAATTGACTATGAATGACTCAAAAGCTGTGTACCAAAAAAGACAAATTCTGACGGGGTTGATACAACAGCTGCAGGCCAGGTTATGGTGTACTCCTACAAGGATCTTAAGTATCCCAACAGGCTACATCTAGCTTGATCCCCCCTTTTACAAGCTTAGAATAACTATAACATTCTCATGGTATATGAGCAATTTTTGTTGAATAGAGGGCTATTAATGGGAGATTTCAGATGGAATGCTGTGCTCTCTCAGCTTTTTTGGGAAAGGAAGTTAACAGCAAAACGATTCCATTACTATTATTTTTTTTGCAGCATTGACCAAATATTTTCAAACTACAGTCTTATGTTTAGATCATAAAAGAAGACCAAATTTTAGGGTACAAAAACAAAGCATTCATTACTAGACATTGTCTGAAATCTATCATTCTCAAGTGTGTGGTATTCTTGTGTGTGTGTGTGAGTGTGAGTGTATGTGTGTGCATGAGTGCATGTGTGTGTGTGAGTGTGTGTGTGTGTGCTTAAGGTACAATTATACTGGAGATTTTTTATGGGACATCCTACATATATTACTTATAGAAGATGTTGAAGATTTACTTGGATCTATGAAAATTTGAAACAGGAATTGTGACGGTTGTATAGCCAATACTTAGGAAGGCAGTGACTTTATAACCCAATTAGACAAACAGAGGCAACATAGCTCTGTTTCTGTCAGCATCCTTTTGTAAACAAAACTACAAGAGAGAGAGAGAGAGAGAGAGAGAGAGAGAGAGAGAGAGAGAGAGAGAGAGAGAGAGAGAGAGAGAGAGAGAGAGAGAGAGGGGAAGACATAAAAAAGTACCCTCTTGGAGGAAAAAAGCTGAACTGAAAATGTCTATATTCAGAAACTAGACTACCACTCTATCCTTCACTCTGTTCTAGCCCAAGTTGGTTCTTCTTTTATCGCCCACGCTCTATGTCCTATGAATCACCTCAGAATTCTTCATATGTAGGCTCTTTCAGAGCCAGTAATGGTCCAGAAAATGTGGAACACATAGGTTTTTTTTTTTTTTCACATACTTAAGTGAAGGGCCAATTACCTCCTGTCATTTTCTCTTTGTGCCTGTGCTCTCTATGTTGTATTGGTAAGGGGGTAGAGGAGAAACACCTCCTGGAGATCAAGCACTAAAAACCATAACAGTAATGATGCCCTAGCTAATCATTAAAATGGAACATTTCTGATCTAATTCCTGCTGCTTACACCATAACAAATCCAAAGCTTCTTCAGTGTGAATATTAATAATTACAAATTTGGCCCAGCGATGGGGCAGAAAAAGGGCAAGAACCAACGAACTGTACCACGGAAGAGCTGCCAACTAAGCGTGTTTTCTCCACATCAAGTTCTAGTAGAAACTTTTCTATTGGAGGACTTTCTCCAAATCAATTTTTTTTCAAAAAAATTAATCAAATAAAATAGTACTTTTAAGTTACTGAGATCTACAATATATTTATGTCCGTATTTCTAAATACCCAATTCTAAAAGACATGAAAAATAAGTAGCGATGCAGTCACTTAATAGCAAGGCATGTCCACATTTCAAATAGTCATAAAACATTTGAAATGATATAACAATAGAAGGTCGGAAATGTGAAACAGATTTAGCATAGTCGTATTGCATTGGGGAGGGGGGAGAGTAGAACACCTATTTTGTTAGCTAAATTAATTTACAGGAAAAAAAAAGGGTTCTTAGAAGTCCTCTAGTGAACCAAGTGTGGGTAATCTAATGGTGGGGAGTGCATGTTTTATTTCTATCTGTTCTCTTTAATAAGAGAAAGTGAGGTAATTAGAGTACGCAATGCATTCTGGACTGTTCTGCTAATTGTCCCAGACAAGACAAATCAAAATGCTTCAGAAAAGTAAGGCCTTATTGAGTATTTGGGTAGAGGCCCCCCCTTCAATCAGCTACTCACTAAGCGGAAATCTCATTTTACACTTATTTGTAGAGATGGACCGGTCACGTCGCAGAAAAGGCTGCTTGCTGAGAATGTCTCTTCCACGTTGCCTCAGCCTCCTTGCGTTTACTGCATTAGGTCCTCAGAGTGGTGAAGGAAAACAAGTCATTTTTTTTTTCCTTCATAAGTGTCACTGGATGATTCCTCTATGTTAACTGTATGTACGAACCTTAGAATAGTTTCAGATCTCTTTTTTTTTTTTAATTTTTAAAATTTTTCATCTCAAGGAGTTCTCAGTCCCCACCCCACAGGAGGTACCATGAAGGGGCACTAAAGTGCATGTTGATGTAGGGGGTAGAGTTTAAAGGTGCTGTCCAAGCTAAGAACCAAGATGATGCTATTTAGAAAAGAAAGGCAATTCCTTTTACCTCCACCTTGGGAGTCGGCTGAGGGAGGGCAGCAAACTGCACCCTCCCCGGAGGATTGTCCTAACTCTTAACTCTAGAGAAAACTGGGTAAGGACCTGCACATATAGATTCATTTATTTGTCCAAAATAGCAAAAATAGGTCTATTTCACCCTTAAGAAAGTATTTGCAAACCTGAACAGTCAGGATCCTAAAAACGTGAGTGGATTCCAGATGCAATCCATGTGGGCGTGCTCTGTGGTGCTAGCTCCGTATCTTCAGGTTGACTGAACATGCGGCCGTTCATTTTCACCAAAACATGACTTCTAAGCTACCATAAATAAAATACACATGAAACAATTAAATCTTTTTCTTACAATAATTACTTTTACATTAAAAAGTCACCATCATCTTCAGATATATTGAAAATTAGGACTCTAAATCTTATTATTTTGCAGTCTTAGTTAACAATCTTGCACAGGCCCGATAATCCAAACCTTGGAGCTCTGATCTGCACAGCTTGGCAGGTTTCACACAGTTTGACAGGTAGGCAACTGTGAGAGACACATGTTTAAAATTTAGCATTTTCTATCAAAACAGTCTAAAATCTTTTAAAATCCCCACCGTGACTGTATTTGTGTAATGCCACATCAGGTAGCGAAAAAGGAGGAAACAAAATACAGTCTGGAAGATTGATCACAGTCCAAATCTTTTCGGTCTTCAGTTTGAGCAACGAGGAGCCCCAGAAATCCAGCTGAACGCAGTGCCTCGAATAGAAGAGTCGGTGGTCCTGTGACAGAGGAGCTTGCGCTGCTCCTTCTACACGGGAACAGTCTCCACCACAGGCGACTTGATGCACTCTTCGTGCAGTCTGCTCTTTTCTGCAAGGCTCAAAGAATTTTCAGCAGGATGCTCCGAAATGTGACTGTCACCATTCAGTGTGGACACAAACCCTTCCTGGGAAGGGCCTTTCAAGTATGAGTGGAATTCTACTTGAGGATGACTGGACCTGTGTTCAGGATATAAACTACTGCAGGGCACCCCACTATCGTTCTCGGACGAGGAGCAGCAAACGATCACAGAGGGGTTGGCAGCTGCATAATGCGAGGCACCGTAGGCCTCTTCTGCTTGTCGGGCATAGTCAACAAATTGCTCTGGGGTCATGGTGTAAGGCACCAACGAAAGGGTACCGCTCTTGACAGAATCTCTCTCAGAGTAGTTCTCAGAGATCTGGCTAGGTGTTCCTGGAATGTGGCTATCTATTTGGTAGTAGAGAGTTGAAGAGTTGGCATAAAAAGAAGCATTTTTTGTGTGACTTTCATGAACAGCCGTGCCATCTGAATAGCAAAGGACCGAAGGGAGAGGCACAACATCAGCATGGGTGCCCAGACCTTCCACAAAGCCATCTCTTTTATCCTCCTCCTCCTCCTCCTCCTCCTCTTCTTCCTCCTCCTCTTCCTCCTCCTCCTCATCCGACTCACTAGGAGCCAAGCTTTGTGTGCTGGAGTCAGTGACGCCGCTGCAAAAGCTGCTCCCGTCTTCCTCCTCTTCGTCCTCTTCTCCTTGGCAATCTAATTCTTCGGCAGACTGCAAGTGCAGCACCGCGGCTTGGGGTTCAGTTTCAATCTCAAAATTGTCTGCGATAGAATATTCTACGGAGTGAGCGACAGGGCCCATGGAACTACTGTGCGCGCTTATCTCCCCGTGGCAGCCGTTCAGTGTGGGGATTTGCTGCTCTCGGTTTTTCTCCAGTTCAAGTTTCATTATTGTGTGCAAAAAGTGAGTCCGGACACGGATAGGATTAAATTCAATTCTACCTGCTGTGTTACTACACCCTTCTTTAGTGCAGCCACAGGGGAAAGACATACGGTCCACCTGTGGAGGGAGAACACAGTTTAGTACCATGGAACCATTACAAACCGAATAAAATCCAGTACTTTTCAGCAATTCCTTTGAATTAAATAATCCACTTATTCCACTTATGTCAGAGTAAATGACAATCAAACTCAAATAGAAATAAAAAAGGGAAGTACAGCTTAAGTCATAAGAGTTAACTAGCTTTTAAAACCATCTTTAAAATAAAAATGGGTTTGGGGGATTAAGGGGGAACTTCACTTTTCCAACGCTTTCTTCACTTGTTTTCCATATCCTCCTTTCTCCTTCTCTTTGTGCCTTTGATCTTGTTCATGTTTTCAGTGCTCCTATCTTTTCCCCAAACTTTTATCCCTTCTGCTGCATTCCATCTTACTTGCCTGATTTTAAACAAACAACTTTCTGTACTCCTTCTTACCTGAACTTTTAATGTAATTAATGTTTTTGATGTGAGTTATGCTTTTTCTTTTTGCTTATTAGAAAATGAACTTCACTTCCCAAGAAGCCCACGTTGAAAACCTTTGCTACCCTGCACCCTCACAATCCACTGTCACTGGTTCACCTTCACAATATCTGGCCCATGGTGTGTGAGTGCGTGTGTGTGTCCTACAAGGCTGAAGTAGATGTGTCCATTGATGACTATGACTCGTGGACTCACATGTTTAGGTCCTGGCTGTGTCCCTTTGCCACCTATTCCATTAGGCTACAAGCTTTTCAAAGGAAGAGAAGGTCCATCTCATTCATATCCCAGAACTATTTGAAGGGTAGGGCTCTGGAGATAGAGAAATTTTATTCAATAAGAGTTGTTGGATGGACCTCAGGTGATAAGTGGGATTCCAGGTATTCCATAGGAGCTCCTATTTGCTTATTGTCTCAGATTCCACAGATCAACCTGTACACAGATCAGAGGACAGGGGACACAAAACCTTGTCATGCTTCCTACCTTCTCCAACTTCAGAGAGATGGCTGTGCTGCCAAAGAGAAGGCCAAGCCTAAGTTGTCCTGGTCCTGATAAAATGTAGTAGCAGACTTCAGAGCTACCACGTGTGTGTGTATCCTCATGAGTGAATCTCTTTTCTGTGAATCTATCTTAAACAACTGCTTGGCTGATGGGAACTATACTTTTCTTTCACCTGCCCGAATGATTCTCTTTATTGGAAAAGCTATTTCTGCATAAAATAACAACACCTCACTATTCAGAAAACATCAATAACATATTATAGATGAAGAGAAAACAGAATCATCTAGTACAAGGGTTAGCACACATTTTTTTAAAATTTTCTTTTAATCAGTTTTAACCTTTAAGTTTTTAAACATATAATTAACCAAGTAAGAGTAGTAGGGCTATTTTCCAATAGTTCTCATATAAACTCAAGTATCAGATTTTTTTTTTGGAGAAAAATGGGCTTCTTATTGTTTACAAGACTGTTCCCAAGTTGCAAAAAAAAAAAAAAAAAAAAAAAAAAAATTCTGTTTCCCTCCCATATTCCTCTAATCAGTCATTATGGCCACAATCAGACAGATGGAAAGTCTGAGGACTCTTTTCCTTCTTAAAGAAACCTTCTAGCAGGGAGTGACTGCAATATAGATAGCACACACAGTTTTGTTTTGTTTTTTTTAAAGGCAAGCACAAATATTTAGGTTTTATGGGTTATACGAACTTTCTGTTACTACTCAGCTCTCCTGTAGAAATATAAAATCAGTCATAGATAATTGGTAAACAAAATGGAAGTGCTCCAATAAACTTTGCTTATACAAACACGTGATTGGTTGGGTTTTATCTGTTAGCTGATAGTTAGTCAATCGTGACCTGATTTAGTCTAGCCTGTACATTTTCAAGATGAAGAAACTGAGGCCCAGGGGATTTACCTAATTGGCCAAGTCCATATAGATTTGCAAATAGCAAAGATAGAAGTCAAATTTAGTTTTCTTGTACAGGGTTTCGCTATGCAGTGCAGGCTGGCCTCATGCTCACTTCTGTAGTCCCCAGGCTGGTCTCGAACTCAAAGCGATCCTTCTGTCTTAACTTCCCCAGTGCTGGGATTACAGCTGTGCACCACTATGCCCAGTTCTGGGGCCCGTGTCATGCACCCAGGGTTCCAGGGCCTGGCACATATGCAGTACTGGGATTGAACCCAGGTCCTTGTGCTTCCCAGGTAGGTACTTAACTCCTCTTCTTTTTCTTCTTCCTTTTTTTTTTTTTTAATGGTTCCCCTTTAGCAATTTTACTACTAGCCCACACAACTTTATACATCATGGAAGAATCAGAAAACACAATTCGAGCATTGGAGATGGAGATATCAAAGTCTTTCTGAATATTTGTAAAAAGTCCAAACAAGCTGGTATGACAAGGGAGTACAAGGTGAAACCCTTCTACTACCCCAGCTGCAGCTTGGGCTGCTTCTGTGAATGCTTGCCTTAGTAGTTTTCTCTCCCTGGCCTACCTTGCTGCAGTCTGCTTCTGCATGTGGAGGCCTCATTACTGTACACAGCTAACTTCAGGGCAGTGCTGTCTCTGGAGGGCCTGAAACCCAAACCCTTACCTGACACTTAATACCCGCCAGGCTGCAGGTACATGTTTCTGGATCGCAGAACACTCTGCAGTCACAGCCGCAGTCCTCCCGCGACAGGCGGATGGCACGCAGCTCGTGCTTCTCTTCCACGTCTATCTTTTTAACTCCAGAAGCTCGCAGCAGTGCTCTTCGCTTTTTTGTTGGCAGGGGTTGTAGGAAGAAGTACTCGTCTACTTCAGTGTTGTCTAAATCTATATCGTCATCAGAAATGTCATCCACCGTAAGCGTGCTGGCCTCTTCTGACTCCACGGTGCCATCCTTAGTCATCTGGAAGGAAGCACAATGAAGTAAGTAAGAGTTGGGGGACAGAAGCATGAGCTGTTACACCCCAAATGCTCCTTACAACCACTCAGTGTTTCTTTTCCTTTCTTTTTTTCTGTCTGTCTGTCTGTCTGTCTGTCTGTCTGTCTGTCTGTCTATCTGTCTGTCTTTCTTGTCTTTCTGTCTTTCTTTCTGTGTATTTAGTACAGGGTCTCACTACACAGCTCAGACTCGTAGCAATCCCCCTGTTTTCAGCCTCCCCAGTGCTGGGATTGCAGGCTTGCACGACCACGCCCAGACTCTAGTGTTGCTGAGCTCAGTCATTTTCCATTCAGGAGAAGTCTAAGGAAGAAAAAGCAAGGCATTCAGGTAATGATAGACTATATCAGGCTTCTGGTCACAGAAAACTATTCTACTGGGGCTCTCTGCCTCCTAATATGAGTAGCAACAACTCATGCTTGAGTCTGTGTGGTGAAAAAAGACCACGGGCTACAGAGGCCCAGGAAAGCAAGTTATCTTTAGACTGGGTTCTGAGGTTGGAGCACATGTGCCCTCTTTCAGAGGGGAGCACGTCTTGGCAGAAGGCATCATCACCTGGCTAAGGAAACACGAAGTCTTTGAAATAATGACCCTGGCTTTTGGAATCCAGTGAAACCAGGCATGCAGGCTGCAAGGCTGTGTTGCTCTGTGGTATTGGGATTCCAGATATGATTACCCTGCAAAGTGTTCCAGGAACAGGGCTTGATGTGGAGGAATCAGTCAGGGGAGTGTGCTCTTCGAAGGGCAAGGCAGGCAGACAGAGCCAGCAAGAGCTCGACAACCAGCAGGTGAAGGCATAAATGTGGTCCTCGGGGGAGCTTCGCCTAGAGCGCTACCTTCTGCAGAGTGAAGAGCTCATGTGGACAGCCATCCCTCCCATCCTCTTGCCTGTTCTGCTTCTATATATTTTCTTTCTAAAGTAACCTTGTCCATCCATAAGTCTTGAATCTATTTCTCAGTTCTTGCTAGTATACCATCATATATTTTTCTTTTATAATTTAAAAAAATCTTATTTATTTATTTATTTATTTAGTACAAGGTCTCACTACTCAGGTTGGACTTGTAGTGATCCTCCTGTCTCAGTCTCCCAGCGCTGTGATTACAGGGGTGTACCACCTTGTGCAGTTTCAGTGGCGAGCACAATGTACCCAGGGTTCTGGGGCTGGTGCAGCATGTGGTTCTAAGGATCAAACCTGGGTCCTTGCGCATGCCAGGCAGGCACTTAAACTGCCAAGCCACCTCCCCTGCCCCTAAAAAAATTTAGAAAGATTTATCTTGGAATACATCATGAAATCACTAATAGCAGGAGCTATTCTGTTTCTAAAAAAATGTAATTTACTACTTTGTGTACTATACTAATTGCAATTATGACCATGATCAGAGATCGTAACAATTTACCTTTAAACATGTGATACTCTGGTGACACCAGTTATTCATTTGTCTTCACAGGAAGAAGTTCAGCACTTACATAAAAATAATTACTATCAGACAAAACCCTCAACCTGGACAGCTCAGAATGTAATAAATGAACAATAGAAGCTGTGGCAAGAGGATCACTGTGAGTTTGAAGTCAGACTGGACTACATCATGAGTCTAAGGCCAACCTAAACTACATAGTGAGACCTCGTCTCAAAAACAAAATGGGGGGAGAGAGAGAGAGAGAGAGAGAGAGAGAGAGAGAGAGAGAG